TACCATGTTGTTCCCACGAGTAATAGACATTATAATGGTCGACCCCCCCCAGAGGACTAATAGAGGGGCAAGGCATCATATACAACAAGATGTGCCTGAGTTTGAGTCTAAAGGAAAAAAGTAGTTAAGTTCAAAATAAACTCCTCACAAAGATGATGCATGGAAGTTACTTTCAGATACGAACTGGATGAAGAAAGCCTTCCAAAACAACTCATGTGAGCATTCAATTGTTCGAAAATCACTTTTTTCGATTCAGTTTATACTCCAAATATCGTTATGAAATTAAATCAGATATCATTTATAGGACGTCGCACAATATAGTATATGAAAGAGTGTGATATAATATTTCACTCACATGAAACACTTACATCCTCAATGGTGGATTTGGAAGTTTTGGAAATGTGTACGAGAGATGTGAGAATATATTCCTATACCGAATTCAAATTCCTGCTTCAAATGCAATTATGAAGAAAATGTATCTGCTCAGTAAACATATTCATCTTCCGAATCAAAATCCTTGAGGTTGGTCATTACCAATTAACTTACTCTACAATAAATATCCATTCCATCTTTATCGAGTGAGAAAGAAGAAGATCCTCCTCTTATCAATTGAAATATTTCATCCTCATCTAAAAGAATATATATTCACATCAACCCCAAAAACTATTTCGAATTTTATGAAGCAGATAACGAAATGAATATACAATGGAAATCAGAACCTGGAAATGAAAAGAAAATTCGAAAGCTTCTCAAACCTATTGAAATGTAATTCTTCTACCTTGATTCTACTGCTTCATTGAACATTGCCCACTGTTATTTTTTTTAAACGTTCAAGTATGGATATTCGATACACTCAGTGTCGTCACAATATTATTACTTTCCACTGACCGTCTCTCAGAAATCCATAAATATATAATTGATAAAAGTTTCAGAGACAAATGTACCAAAATAAATAAAAAAAATGCAATCATAAATTGAATCATATGAATTGAAACCTACTAATAGTACTAACAATATCTTCAAGTTGTTACAATGGGACTTGAACAAATAATTCATCCACCTAAATATGTTTACAAGTCTTATTGTAGAAACATACACCATATCAGAAATTCATTCTCACGATGAAAATGAGCATACAATGGAAAACTTCAACTCATTACTTGAAAACAGGACAAACCAAAAACGCGCTAGCGGGGACGTAATGAAAGTTTCGAAACAGCAAACATTACTTCGAAAACCATTGGAAGCAGTTGCTGTCACCATTATCTACTCCCACAATAATGAATTTAGTGCTTCCATCTTTCAGATTCCATAACCACATAATGGGCGATCTGAACGATCACGACATATTACGGGGATCGGACTAAACTAATACTTGAGGTCAACAGAAAGAAGAGGTCATAAACACTCTAAATCTCTCTTGTGAACTCAGGTGAACGGTCACGTATCTGCTATAGATCTTTCATGTAATCCTCATCTCATGGCACATTTGAAATGGGATGTATGAGACGATTTGTACAGAAATGGTTACTACTCGATCATCATAAATCAGTTACAAAATTCAACTAATCTCTTCAGCAAAATTTTCGTAGCAAATACTCGTACAATATATGACTGCAGTGGACAGCCAACCGGACATTGATACAACCTTAAAAAAGCTTCAATAAAGCCACAATGCAACGTTTTGGTTGGTGACTATTCGTTTTTGAATTAGTGGATCACTCTAAATCAACTAGTATTACTTCTCAAACTTTTGCTACCTCATACTATACGTATACTACTCATACATACATGGATTGATGTCATTGACTGAAGAATTATTGAATAATTAAGTGGCGTCCTATTCAAAATAATACACAATACTATCATACTAAAAAACACGACCATTGCTTCCCAGACATACTGACTTCCGTTAGGAACATGTTACCTTTTGTTTGAAACCCTAAAAACCGAGGGAAAGCAATCATCAACTGAATATAAATCATAGAAGAATGACAAGACCAAGAACTCGTAGATGACTTAAAAATAACTTTTATGCTATACCGTACCCTTACTCTTTTCATGATTTAGAGCAAGAAAATAGTATCTCTGCCCATCTGGAATGACTAGCACTTGATTTGCTAAGGCAAAAGCGCAGGTCAGTTTTTGATTTTTTTTTTATAGAAATTCAATTTATAAGTGCTGAAAATGGTTACGAAATCAAAATCTTTCATTCGGACGCCATCTACAGAAATTTCCAGTAATAATGTACGTCCTTTGAACATTTGTCACTGTAGAACAGTTTAGTTACACTGGGATAAGAGACACTTTAAGTTTACCAATGAAACAAGTAATGCAGTTCGCTTGAGAATTTTAATGAGGTTTCGCATCCCTAACCTTGAAATAAATAAAAATGATAAATAATGAATATTGAATTCGACCTGTCACTGTTTATAAAAATCAGAGTGTCAAAGTTTTGCAATTTTCTACACTTTCCGAAGGTTACTTCAACAGAAAAAGTAACAAAATATAGGGTCTTATCCTACGTTTAATGCACTAAACCTTACAACTCCTGATCGAAATCTTATTTTCAGAAACCATTCATTTACACTGCTCCACCGAGACTGCTTTGATTCTTGAGATCCGGGACTTCGGCAGTCTCCAACATTCCAGTCATTCAATTCATTCTATTTTCTTGTTTGTTGTTGTTTCAGTTTATTGTTGTTCTTGTTTGGCAGGACCATGATACAAATAAAAACTAATGTAAGAAATCCTAACGACTCTATGATTAGTTGATATTAATAAAATCAAAATATATATAATCTACTTTTGAATTAATGTGTATGTATACCTTGAAAGTTGGAACTTATTCTGATGGATGACTCTCGAAAATTTCTATTTAAATCACCACTGTGTGTTCCCAGACGAAAGCAGGCACAAGAATAATCTTTCAAAAATGTATCGTTCACACATAGAATCGGTGTCGGTTCAAAGTTCAGGCAATGCTACCACCTGTTGCATGCGTCTCTTTAAGTATATAGACAGAGGGCGTCCACCGATTCTAAGTATAACGTTACTGAAAGTAGATACCCCTGTTTGCACTTCACTTCTCATTCTACGTTAACTATGAAAAGCAAGTCTATGACTGAACAAAAGAAGAAGAGTACGTGTTGGCATCAATTTGTGTACCTAAACGTAATAATACTCGAATGAAAATGTGTCAGCACTCTAATTGTGATTTATTTGGAGTACTGGTGCAGACTGCTCAGAAGAATCCCAAATCTGTGAAAGTAGAAGATAGAAATTTGAATAAATGATATATTTATAATCCACAAGTCGAAATCGCCAAAAAAATTAACCTCATCATTCGAGCAAATTTTCTTATCAGTGAGCATTATTTGGAGGTCTGTGAACAGGAAAAAGTCGATGGAGGTCAGACCTAGATAATAAGGTGGATGCTGAAGAAATTCTTAGCCCAATTCATGCAATTTTGCCGTTGTTTTGATTGACTCTTGAAATGGTGAATTGTCTTGATGAAACAATTTTTCTTGCCATATGCGGACGTTTCGTTGCAATTTCGGTCTTCAAACGTTCCAATAATGCTATATAATATTCACTGCTGATGGTAGTTCCCTTTTCAAAATAGTCGATGAATATTAAACCACGCACATCTCAAAATACCGAGGTCATAACCTTTCCAGCTGATTGTTGTGCTTTTGGTCACTTTGAACGAGATTCACTACAATTAGTCCACTCAGATGACGATCGTTTTGATTTCGTAGTGAAGTGCTGAATCCATATTTCATCCATTGTCACATATCGACGCAAAAATTCCGGTTTGTTATGTTTAAACATGGCTAAATACTGCTCAGTCATCAATTCGTTCTTGTTTTAAGTCAACAGTGAGCTTGCGTGGGACCCACTTTGAACAGAGCTTTCTCATAGTCAAATGCTCATGCAATATAAAACCAACACGTTCTTTTGATATCAATTCAAAACGATTTGGTGGATTTTCTGGTGTTACTGCCTCATTTGAACGTCCACTTCATTCTGCATCATCGGTGATTCTACGACTACGTTTGAAGTCAGCAAACCAACGTTTAATTGTTATTTCTGATGGAGATGACGCCTTATTTCAAGCTATTGCTTCGCGAATTTTTTTCAATCCTTTGTTCTGAAAATAACAAAAGTGGTGTCAGTCTTAGCACAATAACTCACAACCTTATGAGAAGAATATCATGAAATTTCAGCAGCTTCTATTTGAAAGTTAGTACTAAATGAAAACGTGGGGAATGCAATAACACCAGCGCCATCTATGTATTATGCCCGAGACTATTTAGCCCAGGCAGTACATCTCACTGATTTTTTATGATTTATTGCAAAACAATTGATACTTTAATATCTTCACGTGTTCAGTTATTTTTTTCAAAAAGGAAAGGTGAAGAATATAGTATCTTCGAAAAGGAAGGTGAACGACCTTTGACATTGTTAGAATTGAGTACCTTATTTCGAATAGACCTGAAACAATGTTGTTGTTAATAGTTTTGTTTTATGAGTAGTAACAAGAATAAATAATTTGAGAACTACCTTTCATCATTCTTCTTGAATAATCGAATTGACGACACAGTACATTTCATCAAAAATGAGTTTTTACTCAACCCCTTCTCAATTTAGGATTTGGGGGGTTATATCGGCCCCTGCTAAATGGTTATTGTAATTCAATTGAAAACTAGACTACAACATGTTTGACGAGTTTTTTCATATTTTCTGATTTTCTATAGGGGCCGAAATGTAGAAGGTGAAACGTTTTCTAATTGACCCTCTGTACACATTTATATAATTTATTGTTTAATGACTATTTTATTATTGTTCAATTGTCATTTCAAGGAATTAGTAAATATTGTATTCTTCAATATGTACTCTAGAATACGTTTCTAGTACCTAAGCGATCTGTCAAAACTAAAACCGATTCTGAACAAATATCATCTTCAACATACACTCTCACCATTAACTTTTTCCAGATCAAAACTACACGAACACCGGCAAAAAACGGACGACGTTCTCGAGATTTCTTCGCGGCCTCAAAACGTCCCACCGAAAAGAAAAACACGGAGCCAGCTCTCCGAGGCACGGCAGGGCGGCCGCCAGGGGAGTCCCGCAGAGGGTGAGTTTTGAATTTTAAATGGAACTTATCCGAAGAGGACTTTCTGTCGGTGTTTCTTCTTCTTCTATTATCTATTTCGTGCTCTCTCACTCCATACTGAAATAATTTCTTTTCTGCGGTTCGTTCTCGAAAGACTCGTTAGCAGGTTGAACTACAAGTATATTCAATTATTTGATTTGTCAAATGTAATGTAAACCGCGTAATAAAATGAAATTTCCTTTTATAATTATTTGCGAGATTTTTTTCTCTCACGGGAGCGTTATGTAGATGACAGATATAATAGACCATATTTCTTCGCCACAAAAAAAATCACTTTTGAAGAATCGAGTAAGGAAACCTTTATTGGGTTTCCAGTTTGTACAAAATTCAACAAATACAGCCACATGAATAGTTATTCATCTATTAATTCCAGTTATTCGTTTTTTTTTCATATTTTACGTCCATCATTTTATAATTGAAATAACAAAATATAATTACTAGATGATCTCTCTTGAATTTTTTCAAAAAGTTGCTAGAAGTCATTCCGAATCGAGTAAGCCCTCGATCATAACTTTCGGTGCCCTTGGACAGAAGATCCAAAAATAGTATCTTGTGACCCAGACTATTTTTCTCTTATGAACAAAAACGAATTGCTTTCTTTTGGAAATTCGTATTAATAATTCGGTATCTCAAACATTTAAGAATATGTCAAGTTAGAGCTTTCTTCATGATTAAGGTAACCAGTCTACAGTTATTTAAAATAGTTTTCTTTTTGTGTATGAACTGAAGTATGGTTGCAGTATAACAGGAAATTAGAAAAGTTTTTGTGAAGCTTCCTACTTTTACTGTTTCTTTTTCAGTTTGGGCCTCATTGTCATTTCTCAAATTGATTATACATGATTAGTAAAGTTCTGGAAACACTGATTCCACCATCAGGAGGATAATTGGAAAATTTTTATCGTTCAAAGTATAATTAGAAAATACTAGACCCAATTTTCTAGTGAACTCTGGACAGTTATTGGTTATTGTTATTGGCCAATGAAAATATTACGAAAGATGACTGAATCGTATTCGTCTCCAATTTAAATGAAATTTAGTTCGTACGTAGAGGTACTACTATTGCTAATAGAAACCATCCCGCATCTGTCTACACCCGAACGATATTTTCATATATCAGTTCACTGATAAACAATTCACAAATTCCTGTATTTCTTATATATCTTCTCGATAACCTTCAAATTTGAGTAAGTGAATATAAATTTCAATAAATATTTTACGCGAACATACCGCCGCAAGAAAATTTCTATCCCCACATAGGTGTTCTATAATTTAAATTTTTGTCATCGGTGGCAAGTGCCGGGGTGCACGCTAAATAAAATCGCATTACTCCTTCAGAAGACATTTACCGAACAGGAAATTCACAGAGGGGTGCCAGGAAACGCTGGGTACACATAAGTACGGTGCAATAAAATATGTAAATGCCCTATATGTCCCTTTTCGGTGTAATAGCTACCGGAAGTGACACAGAGACGGACTAGAAGTTCGACAAAATTATTTCTAAAACAGACAAAAATTATTTTTTGTCAACAGAATCAGCTTTTTATTGATCTTTTCAAAATATTTTTTGTTCTACAATCTAGAAAAAGTAATGAAGAACTTTATACAGCTGTAGAAAGTAAGGGCAAACTTCTTATTCATCCCGTTCATCCCCATAATTTAATGTGTGGGCAAACTTCTCATTCATCTCGTTTATCCCCATAATTTAATGTGTGAGTTCAATACATTTTTATTACTAAAAACTTGTATTTAACAAATTTGTATGAAAAAAAACTGCTATCCTTCTGTTGACGATTCAACGGCCAAACCGTATTTCCTCTTATGTTTACAATCTGTTTAAAATCGTTTTTTCCGGTAATCAGCTGTCGCTCCAATACGAACGACAACTCTCAGAAGTTGAGAAACTTGTGCGGGCTAAGGACTAACGAGTTGTTACCTTTTATCGTGTGATTCCTAATTCGTTTTATTCAAGAACTTTCTCGATAGATTTCGAAGAAGATTTGAAGTATGTCAGAGTTGTTGATTGACTTTAAAATATTCGATGTAATACAAGATATTATTATCTGATATTATTCTGTTGAAATTCTACCTGGTAGCCAAGTACAATACATATCCAAAGAGCTGATCGCCATTTATAAAAGTATGTGTATTGTGGTATCATCAAAATAATATTTACATCCAGTTTTCCTTTATTTTAAACTTCATTGATCAATGAAGGTATCGGTAAGAAACGTCGACCGTAGAGAGCTTTAAAGTAGTAATGCTTTTTTTCTATTGTTTGTGTATTCGGACACACATTGGCGCGTAATATATATCATCAATATTACGCTTTACTACTTAACATATTTGATTCAATACTTACTGATTTCGTAGTCTGTGAAGTGTTATGACCCACCATCTTCTTCTGCGCGGAAGTTTTTTTAGTTCTGCAGTAAAATAATATTATGATAAGCAGCGCTTAGCACAGCAAACGCACCCACAGCCACTTCTGAGTCCGACATGTTGGCTCTGCTTGGAGCTAACTGAACTTGGCTTCAATAATTTCCAATGTATTGATGCTTTTGAAAATAATACCGCCAATATAGCCCAACGTTGGCGCCAACACTGGCCCCAATGTGTGGTTCTGGGGTAAAAAACTTCCAGTATTGGGATTTGAACTCGGGTTATAGAAAAAGTATATGCAAACGCGTAACAGCTGAGCTACTCTGGCGGTTACGAATGTGATGTCTGATTGTAATTAAAACAAGTGGTTATTGATTCACGGATATAACTAAATTCATTACCAACCCACAAACTGTTGAACAATAAATTTACTGAAAATATGATTTTTATTTCGATTTCACAGAGAATTTGTAGAAAAAATTCTCTGATTTCACTTTTGGACAATTAAATGTATTCATGAGATCACATTTATCAGAGTGAATGTTGAAGTTTTTTACGAAAGTGGCCGCTATTAATTTAGGATACACGTGTATTTTGAATAAGCCATGATCTACCTGCTGTCAAACACGTAATGATTAATTTAAAATGGAGGGAGTAGAAAAATACACAAAATTCGCAAAGTTCTTCAGGTCATTAAAGCAGCTTTTCAATTCATGAGAATATTCAACAAAACAATGATAAAGAACTGTTCAAATCTGTTAAAAATCCGTTTTTTCGTTTACTAATAAAGATTGAAAGTATATGAATGAATTAGTACTTTTGAACTCTCACACTATATCTTAGAATGAAAAAAGCCCCTCCTTTGCTTACGCTGCGGCAAAATTCTAAGAGTTATCCTGATGAGCTAGTCATATTTTTAAACTTTAAATTTTCATTGTGTAATTTTTATTGAATATTTTGAAAAGTTAATGTTTAGTTGCGAGTTTTCATCAAATGAACGAAAAACTGTAAGTTCATTGGACATCTGCGCCTGACTATGTTGATTTAAAAAATATTTTTGTACATCTGAATTCAATTTTCATTATAGATAAGTTATACTTGATTGCATTCATTGAGTAAAGAAAATGCATCTTTAATGAAAACTGAAGTATGAGAAATGTTTTATTTATTTTTGCAGTCAATCCAATCAGCTAGTCCGTATCTGTAAAACTTAATTTCAACCCGCCTTATAGCCTTTGTTATTCTGGGGGTTCCTCCCGTCCTCACGCCCTCCGGACATTACTTCTTCTTCTTATCGCGAAGAGATTAAAAAACCTCGAAAAATTTGTTAGCGGTGATTAATTGAGAGCTATTTACATAAAATTATTATCTTCCTGTAGAGGGAGATTGGTTGTTCACGACTGCATTTATTGCTTCCATGGTTTCAAGCAACTTCAATAGACTTTTCACCAATTTTAATTTTCATATGACCCATTTCAATCTCTCATCCCCATTTTTATATTCGTGAAAATTATGAGTAACTCTAAGATTGCAATAACTTTATTCAAAAATATTCAACAACTGAATTGCGTAAAATGTCAACAATGCTTTTGTCACTAAAAGTCTCCTTTGATACCTGGAACTTATAAAATAGTATATTGGTTCCCAGGGCTGCCAACACTAGCAATAGGTGTTTCATTGCAACCTTTCAAAAAATGCATCGTACGGTTATAGTGCGCACATGTACTGTCAAGTTGTTAATAATTTTTTGCAAAACTTCCGGAGGAAGAAAGAAAGCGATGAAGCTCAAAATATATTTCAATCAGTCCATAAATGAAAAAGTTATGTCATTTTAATGAATCACGTCAAACATTTATTGGAAAAAAATGCTGTTCAGTTGATTTGGGTACAGCTTTGGCCAACTACCGCAAGGCCCCCCTTTAACCAGCATCCCTTCGAATTCTCCTCAACCCAAAGCATTTCGGCATTATCGTGTTTCAACTGAATGGTAATTGACTACCGAACAGCAATGCCATTTTGCAGTTAAAGAACTTTTGAACAGGGAACAGGGAACGCAGGCCTAACAGGGACAACCAATACATTCACAACCAATTTATTTAAACAAGTAAGCTCGGTATTCCCCCATTACATCCTGCAGAGTTGAGCATTCCCAAGCCGGCTCCTTTATCCACATATCTTCGAATTGTTCAAAGCAGTTTGGCAGTATCGGGTTTCAACTGTACTTAGGCCACATGTGACCCATTGTACATCCTCCCGAGGAGTTGTCCTCCTAGGTCATCGTCCATCCTGTCCTTTCCAGGAAGATGGACAGGTCACTAGGAGACATCTTTATATTGGCAGGTGTAGGCCAAGACTCGCCGAACACACACTCTCTTTGGCAACCTTGAGGTGTCTCACGCTGGCCTCCGAGAAGGTTTTGGAAGGTGCAGCGACATTACTGTCGTTGCGGCCTTCTTGGGGTTCCCTCCGTGAAGGTGCAGGAGCAGCCGATTCCTTGCCTTTAATCAAGACCGAGCTCTTGGCGCCCGCTGCAGGAAGTGTCCTTGCTGTTGGAGGTGAATTGGGGGAGGAGGAGGGTGCAC